TCATCCACATTGCATTGTGTTTTGTATATCTGTTTCAGTGATCACTGTTTTGAATGTCATTGATCGATGTTCAGAAACCCTTAATCAAATACAATGTGCAATGTGCAACAACAAACAAACTACAGTTTATCAAACATTTTTTCAAAGATGTCCAATAACCTCTATGTCTTGGCCTCACCAGTGTCCTGTATCATATCCAAATTATGTTGTACACCTTCATAAACTACAGTCTATGGTTGTACAGCATGAAACTTCGGTTCATTTTCTGCCCGAAAGCGAATTATTTGCCGGGTTTCCTCCGGCGTCCCTGTGTGATTCGGGACGGTATGTAAAGCACTTTTATCGCTATTCCAAAAGCGTTATGTTATGCACTGATATGAATTATCTGCTAAAAGAGTTAACTGTAGACAAACATGCATTGAGTAAAGGTAGTCAGAGAAATACGGGACAAATTAGCAATGTATCTTTGGCGTTGAAAACTGGCAAAAAGTAGCGATTTAAAAAAAACTTCAATTATTAAAATGGTTAAAAATATATATATACAGGACTGCGTAGATCACAAAAAAATTGTGTCGTAATTTTTAAATTCGTTATTTAATCCGAAAATACTACATTTATGGGTCTCTTTTGATGATCTAGCAGCCATTGTTGACGTCTCGCAATGTGTTCTGGGTACCCCTTGGTTTCAAGTAAGCTCTCGGAAAATCTTGGTTTCAAGGGGTATATAGCCCTTCGTCTTACCCCTTCGTCTTGATCAAAATGAGTATTCGGACAGCACTTGGTGTCGCGCGAACGCGCAAAACTAAGGGGAAGGGCTAAGGGGAAGGGGTAAGGGGGAGTATTCGGATTGGGCCTTAGTCTAGTCTTAGTCTAGTCTTAGTCAACTAAATCCCAAATTCTGGTTTTGCTTACTGACCTACAAGGGATTTTGTGTGTTACAAGGCGCTCACTGTGCTAAGTCAAACTGTTTCAGTACAACATTGGTAAACTACAAAGGCGCACCGCTTGCAGCATTACGGTACCGTAGCCAGGAGCGTCGCGGAGTGATACATAGGGTGCTTCACCATAACAGTAACACAGACACGGACTCGGATAATGACGAGAAGGATTCTGGCATGTTGGATGCGGTATGCGCCCAACTGTTAAACTCGGACACTGAAGATAAATATACCATTCATTGACAATGCACCTAATAATCTAGTGCGCCCTTTAGTGCAAAAAATACGGGGTAGTTATGATTGGATATCTTGTCGATTCGTCCCATTCTAATATTTTCGTCTAGTTCTTATTCGTTGATGATAATGTCAGTTATATTTCGTCACATTTTCGTCATAAAATATTCCTTTTTATTTAGTTTTCGTTTAGCTTTTGTCCGTGAAAAAGGTTTATTGACGAATAGTTTTCGTCATAGTCTTCGTCAACGAAATTAACACTGCTTTACACAAATTAACACTGGTTTAGCTAAGAAATGTTATCTCTTAACATAAACAAGACTAACTACATCTTGTTTCATTCCAAACAAAATCAATTGGTTACTAAGCATATCTGTCTTAAACTAAGTGAACAAATTATTGTAAGAGTAAACACCACTTAATTCCTTGGAGTCTTTATTGATGAATGTCTACAATTTAAATGTCATATTGATCAGTTAATAAAAAAATTATCAAAGTACGTTGGACTATTTTTCAAAGTATGACATTTTCTCCCACAGTCAGCAGTAGTCATCTTATATAAAACCTTTTTTGAGTCCAATTTAAATTATTGCAATGTCATATCGTGTAACACTTTTACTACCTACCTGAAAAAAATACAGTCCTTACAGAAAAAAACTATACGGGTATTAACATGGTCTGAGCCAAATACCCCTTCACGTCCTTTGTTTCATCGCCTTGGTCTATTAAGACTTGCCGAATATAATGCTTTTCATAATGCCTGCATGATATTTCAGGTTGTTCACAAGTTCAATTACAGATTGTGTGAACTTGTCCCAATCAGCCGACCCCAGCATACACATTACACAAGGGAAAAATATTTAATCACTGGAAAAAAAAGACATTTGAAATGCACAAGCCTGAGTGTGGTCTGTACAGGTCTGCAGATTTGGAACGAGCTCCAGGAAAATCTAAAATTGTTACATTCTATCTCCGCTTTCAAGAAAAATCTGAAGGAAAATTTGCTTTCAACATATACTTTATGATCATTGGGAAAAGTTGTACGTGTGCTGGGATCGTCTGTTTGTCTGTCTGTTTGTAGTGTTTGTGTCTTGTGGTACTTAGATTTCATTTGTGTTTATTAATGTTATATGTTGTATGTTGTTAATGGGCCCCCTCTTAAAAAGCTTTTATTAGCTTCGGGTGTTTTCCGTTTTCACACAATAACCCTCCTATGACTAGGGATGGGAATCGAGAACCGGTTCTTCTTTAGAACCGGTTCCAAGTGAATCAATTCATTGGAACCGTTAGTGTACCTGCTTAACGATTCCGCTTATCGGTTCGGCTCGTTGCAAATGTGTCATCATGACCGTCACACACACGCTGCGCATTTTGGTTACGCAGAAGCGATCTAAAGTGTGGTTATATTTCACTCGAAAAGACGCCAATGCAGTCATTTGCAACAGATGTAAAAGTTTAATTTCGGCAAAGGGGGAACTACCTCCAATAGGCAGAAGCATTTGGCCACACAGCACGCAATTCGTTTGCAGGACTGTCGCGTGTTTGATTGTCTACTACAACAACAAGTGTAAACTTTTACTATACGGATAAAAATCTCTTGTCAATCATTTGCCCAAGTTGATAGTTGTGGTCTTTACAGAAGACTTCTTTCTATTTTGTATGTCAGTTGAGTTGAATTTAGTTTCATGTTGAATATTCCCAAAGGAACAAGCTCTTCCTTGACTGTTTACCGTCTGTGTTTTTGTTTTTATGGCACTTAAGTGGCAGTTTTTTTTTTTTTTGGCTGGACCAATGAATGTGAAAAAATCTATAGGTCCCTGGACTTTACTTTGTAGCTCACCTACTTTTGGGTTTGTTCTGAGGTTGCTACACATAATTTGTGTATACTCGGAGTATGTGCGGTGTTCTTATCAGATATTAAAGCGAGTTAATACAAACAAACAAATTTGTAATTATTTCCTCACCCAATGAGAATCGATTAGAGAATCGATAAGGAATCGGATCGATAAGCAATATCGATAATGGAATCGGAATCGTTAAATTCTTATCAATTCCCATCCCTACCTATGACTATTGTAATTTTTATTGTGTGTGTGTGTGTGTGTGTGCGCGCGTGTGTGTTTCTACCATGTTATCTACTAAATTTGCCATTTATTTGAATATATTTCTTATTCAAACCGATTTCAAGGAAAACAAGGACAATTCTATGTGATTATAGTGTATTTTTCCAGAGGTCACATATTTAACAATTGACATATAATTTGGAAAATATAAAAAGTAGTGGAAATGAATAATAAGTAAGCAGATCAATGAGTGGAATATGTTAAACTCCGCTCACATGTTTTTTACATAAACGTTTTTAAACTATATTACATCGTGTTCCTCCGTAGCATTGCCATTCATTTTAAGCGAGAAGAGCAAGTTGAGCTGGTAGCTCAGTAGTAGAGCGCATGCTCTGTATGTATGATGTCCTGGGTTCCTATTGGAGGAGCTGGTAGCTCAGTGGTAGAGTGCATGCTCTGTATGTATGATGTCCTGGGTTCCTATTGGAGGAGCTGGTAGCTCAGTGGTAGAGCGCATGCTCTGTATGTATGATGTCCTGGGTTCCTATTGGAGGAGCTGGTAGCTCAGTGGTAGAGTGCATGCTCTGTATGTATGATGTCCTGGGTTCCTATTGGAGGAGCTGGTAGCTCAGTAGTAGAGCGCATGCTCTGTATGTATGATGTCCTGGGTTCCTATTGGAGGAGCTGGTAGCTCAGTGGTAGAGTGCATGCTCTGTATGTATGATGTCCTGGGTTCCTATTGGAGGAGCTGGTAGCTCAGTGGTAGAGCGCATGCTCTGTATGTATGATGTCCTGGGTTCCTATTGGAGGAGCTGGTAGCTCAGTGGTAGAGTGCATGCTCTGTATGTATGATGTCCTGGGTTCCTATTGGAGGAGCTGGTAGCTCAGTAGTAGAGCGCATGCTCTGTATGTATGATGTCCTGGGTTCCTATTGGAGGAGCTGGTAGCTCAGTGGTAGAGTGCATGCTCTGTATGTATGATGTCCTGGGTTCCTATTGGAGGAGCTGGTAGCTCAGTGGTAGAGTGCATGCTCTGTATGTATGATGTCCTGGGTTCCTATTGGAGGAGCTGGTAGCTCAGTGGTAGAGTGCATGCTCTGTATGTATGATGTCCTGGGTTCCTATTGGAGGAGCTGGTAGCTCAGTGGTAGAGCGCATGCTCTGTATGTATGATGTCCTGGGTTCCTATTGGAGGAGTTGGTAGCTCAGTGGTAGAGTGCATGCTCTGTATGTATGATGTCCTGGGTTCCTATTGGAGGAGCTGGTAGCTCAGTAGTAGAGCGCATGCTCTGTATGTATGATGTCCTGGGTTCCTATTGGAGGAGCTGGTAGCTCAGTGGTAGAGTGCATGCTCTGTATGTATGATGTCCTGGGTTCCTATTGGAGGAGCTGGTAGCTCAGTAGTAGAGCGCATGCTCTGTATGTATGATGTCCTGGGTTCCTATTGGAGGAGCTGGTAGCTCAGTGGTAGAGTGCATGCTCTGTATGTATGATGTCCTGGGTTCCTATTGGAGGAGCTGGTAGCTCAGTAGTAGAGCGCATGCTCTGTATGTATGATGTCCTGGGTTCCTATTGGAGGAGCTGGTAGCTCAGTGGTAGAGTGCATGCTCTGTATGTATGATGTCCTGGGTTCCTATTGGAGGAGCTGGTAGCTCAGTAGTAGAGTGCATGCTCTGTATGTATGATGTCCTGGGTTCCTATTGGAGGAGCTGGTAGCTCAGTGGTAGAGTGCATGCTCTGTATGTATGATGTCCTGGGTTCAAACATCAGCTGCACCCCAAGTCGCCATTGCAAATTAGAATTTGTTCTACCTGCCTACCTGGTTAAATAAAGGTTATTATTACTATTAACCAGAGGGAGGACATATCTGGGAAAACAAGTGTGCATGCAGCTTATTAGAGTCCCATTCTAGCAGCTGGATAAATGCCTTTTCTGACAGCTGAATCTGCTTTGAAATAACAGAAGTACAAATCACTTTGAGTGATTATTATGTCTTCATCACTCACAGTAACCTAGGATATATTGCAGACAAAATTATCTGTTGTCCTCTGATCTGTCTGTTTTTTAACGTTCATAACGTCCCAGATAAGCCCTAAAATAGGAAAATAACATTTTTAACCATATGTTCACAATTTGTAATGTTATTAAGTTTGTAGAGTTGGTTGACATTTTGCAAAGGCATAGCCAGCTAGCTATATATTAGCCATGGGTAAGGGCATTCTATCTTCCATCCTGTGCCAGAAACTAAATATCATTGTTTTTGAATATAAAATGAGGAAATGTATTGAAATTATATTGTATCTGGATTATTCTCACTCTGAATCGTATGTTAATTAATACTTTTTAAATAAAAGGCAGACAGATTGCTCAATTTCATAAATTCATAGAAGTTTTTGGTTGGCTTTATGGATAAGAGCCGACAAGCATATCGTAGCTACTAATACTTAATCAATGGGATAAAATATTTAACCTTATTTTACCTTAACTGCATATAATTCATACATATAACCTGCATGTGTTCTGGACTAGTTTGATCCACTGTACTGTGATGTGAAAAGTGGTTGTTAAAAGGTAACAAGATAGTTATGATATACCATAACAAGATGTTATCCATAAGCTTTACACTGAACGTTTTGGCCTGTGGGTTTGTTTATGCACCGACTCAATGAGAAAAAAAATTAACAATACCATTTGGGATCACAAATAACCTTTGTCAAGATTTGTCAAGATTGCCTGCAGCACATGCCTCTGCTTATCTCTTATTTCATAAGTAAATATGAGCTATTCCATAACATGACCTTAAATTACTATAAATAAATCTTACTCATGCATTTGGACTTGTATGTATGAAACCTTCATATTGAATAATACAAATACTGAAATAGCAGTTGATAAAGGTTAGATAAGCCTATATTGGTCTGTGACACTCTCCAGCTGGAGCTTTATTCGCGTATGTGGGTTTACAGAGATAACTAGGTCCCAATATTTTAAAGTCAAAGCACGGAAGGACAGGGGCATAACGCAGCCAAGTGTCTCGCTTGTTTGGAACAAACAAATGTAGCGAACCTCTTAGTCATACGTTAATACAGGTTGTCAATGCATTGGGGTACAATGAGAACAGGTCATAGCCAATCGTAACAAAGGCAGTATTCATTCTCGGTTGCCCGGCAACATAAAATGACATGACTGAATCATGAATGTTCCCAGCAGAATCTCAAAACAGGCAGAGGTCACAGATACATGAAACAAATATTAAAAGCCAGGTCAAATAATGGCACGGAAAAATCTCGAGATCTGGCAAGTGGGAGACAAATATGACTTGAACATGGTTGTCAGTTTCGGACGGATGCATTTAAATACGTAAGACTGGGGTTAGGGTTCAACAGTAGGGTTAAGGTTTTGAAATGGTGCGTCAAAATGGCCAGAGTTATGAGCTATTTCCAGGGTTTTATATGTGGTTCAAGATCTGGCCAAGAGGAAGGTCACAATTTCATTTTTATACTAATCTATGATGACTCAATGGTAATTGGTTGGAATTTATAATTTGCTAAAGTCCAAACAAAGCTTGTGAGAACAGATATTGTATGCTTCTATGCAGTTGAAATGTTGACTCAAAGGCATGTAAGAAGTGTAAAATTTATATAATTCACGGCCAACTTTCTTCACAGAATCAATGCTTACAAATGCACTTTTATCTCCTATTGATAATTTTAATTGAAAAACAAACTGAAATCTTTGAGGGGTTGAAAGAAAAATGTTAAACCTTACAATAACCTGAAACTACTGGAAAGCTAGCCTTTATTTGTCATTAATCAGAGTCACTTTAAATGATTGCAGGTGTGTAATGACTTCTATTTAACATAAGGTTGAATGTGATTGGTTAATTCTGAACACAGCCACATCCCTAGGTACAAAAGGGTGGGCACACTTATGCAACCAGGTTATTATAAGGTTTTACATTTTCCCCCCTCAAAGATTTGAGTTTGTTTTTCAATTTAATTGTTCACGTTATAGAAAACATTCAAGGTGGAAAAATTTCTCACATGATTTATCTTTGTCAATTTTTTTCACATCACAAAAACCTGTCAGGGATAGGTCGACTTTTCATATCAACTGTACCTGCACTTCAATTACTGGCAGTAGATTGTTCTAAACATAACCTGGCATTTTGACATTTTAGACGGTTCTTAGCACCAGTGGCGAATATATCGATCTGTGCGTGTGAGTGTGGCCTTTTCAGGCGTTCTAGCGACAGTGCGTCATTTCGAACAATAAGCAGAAAAGTGTCTACCTTTGGGGGTCTATGTGGGGCCTCTGCATAACTGATTTGAGGACGAGGGCATCAGGTCGGATCGCCTTCTGGGGCGAAGTCTTGGGGCTGCCGTCAGATTCGCCCCCAGAATCGTTGTCTCCCTCTCCCATGGCTTTGACGTAGCTGCTACTGCGCATCCGCCGGCACGGGATCTCCTCGTCTTTGTCCCCGTCCTCCGGGTATCCACTCCACTCATCCTGAGGCACCTGTGGCAGAGTCCACCTCTGTCAGTCACATCCATCTGACTTGTCAGCACAAGTGAATATTCACATGCAGGGTGTCATTTCCTGTATGTCTTTATTACACAAACGCATGTACAGAATAACACTACCATAAATAATTAAGGATTTGACCAGCAGAGGATGCCAGTGGGTATACCTAAGACAATATATGCTCTTTGTATGCTTGCTTTATACAAGTATTTCACTTATTTTCAACTAAGGTCAAATGTATGTCTAAACTGATACAGAGTCAGGCCAGGAAGAATTTTCTCGAAACACAGTCAGAGGTTGATTAGAGCACAATGAACCCGATCTCCAGTCTCTGTTTTTTCCTCGGGTCCCCCTCAATCTTGAAGGCCCTAGCTAATCTAGTTACCCATGCTCATTCATCATTCATTTCCCCCTACTAACAATCTCTCTTTGCATTATATTTTTCAGTAATTAGCCAAAGTCATTGTACCCAGAACAAAAGACAATCATTGTGCAAAAGCAGCTGACTAACAGAATTACACATTTTCATGAAACAACTCAATAATAACTTTCATTAAGAGTGGCAAGATTTTTTTCTCTGGCCTGAATGTAAACAAATAAATGTCTAAAGTAAACACATTACATCATTCAAATTCATATCTGCAAATATCTGAGATCTGTATTTTGTAAAGAAGACTAAAGAAGGGTCATGATTATGAGCACTTGTGTAGAACATGGGTTTGAGGTCTGCATTCCACTGAGTGGAGTCAAATGTCCCTAAAGAATGTAGCTAGGCTCCAGAGATCAGCCGATCCCAGAATCCCTAGTCGTTGACACATGGACTGACACCACTTGCCCCCATCATACTGACAGGCAAGACCCAGTAAGATCGGATGTGTGGGACAAATAAGTGTGTGAACTGAGTGGAGAATAATCTGTCAGCAAACGGCTTGTTTCAGCTACAGGGAGACTTTGTGGAGAGAGACCAGAATTCAACCAGATGTGAAACACAGAACAATCTGCTCTCTGACTACATTGACAGTTTAAAACATAGTATATGTTAGACTGAATCCTGTTGAGTAATCAAGAGGTGAACATGAACACCATTTCTTCCTTGATTTGTGATTACAAATTAGTGCAAAGTTTACATATTCTGTCTAATCATTAAATTAGAATTATAAAATTGGTTTTGTCAATATTGTTGAATCAAAGAATACATACTTATATCAGAATCAGGTTTATTCACAGAGTCTGTTTAAACACAAAGGGAATTTGTTCTGACCCCTAGCGATAGTATTTAGAACACACTTCTTCAAACATATACGTATAACGATTAAGCTTTGGCAGGTATTGGTAGAGGACACAGGCGCATAGTTTCTTAATAAGCACGTCTAATATTCGGGAGAAGGCAAAGAGGAACTAGAACCGAACTCTTCGGATACAGAAAAATAACAAAGGTCTAAATGATCAAAGCGTACCTTTGACAGGAAGAGCCGTGGTAACTCAAACGCAAGATTCGTACAGCTGTACATTCAAATATACCTGCAAGCATTACGTATACTCCAATGATGACCCGACAATGGCAGACTGAAAGGAACAGAACTAAATACATGTACTAATGTGAAAACAGAAAACAGGTGCGGAAGAAACTCAGGTGATACAAATGTTCTTGATTTTCTCCCCTTCTCCGCTGGCAGGGGGAGTGCCAACACTAACATTTAGAGGGACAGATCTCTCTGACCAATTAGGATGGTGTCTTCTGCAAACTTCATGAGTTTGACAGAGTGGGAACTGAAGGTGCAGTTGTTGGTGTACAGAGAGAAGAAAACTCAATATCACCTGCTCTTTAAAAATGTTTCAGATGTTTCAGATACTATCCAGTCACGCTTGTTCCATCATTGGGGTGCAATGACATACAAGATTTTATTGTGCAGTTCAAGAGCTTCTTTCCGGTAGGTTTGGGACGGCCAAAAGGCCAGAAGTAGCTGAAAACAACCTAGTCTAAAGGCAGGGAGAAAGAACTTGCAAATGTTGAACACCAGTCGGTCTGTGACATTTTGAATAAGTTGCATGGATTTGGTTGCTCACAACATAATCCCTACCATTGAGTTGTATTCATCCTGACGTGCAACCACCGAATGAACCAGCAGGGGCAGGTTACTGACATACATTTTTCCATAGAACAACAAAAACGTCAAATGTTGTGCCAAAGTTATTTTGGAATTTGGATTGTGGTCAATGAGGGGTTATCAGTGTCAACAATTATCTGGGAGTT